TCGAGTCAAACCCCCCCGTGGCCAAGCCCCGCCCCCACGCTGACACTACCCAATCACGGAGCGGAGGCCTCAGTTCCCGGGAAACCCGATCCGGCCACTCAGCAGCAGGAAGCCCCGTCCCTCTTGGGGAAGCTCTGCCCCCCGCGCCTATTTTGCCGCGCGAGCCGAGGGCGGCAGTTGGGAGCGGGTGAGGGTGGTATTGTTGTCTTGCTGCAGCGCCGTTAACTGCCCGGCCCGGCCCCCGAGGGAACTGGTCGGGCTCCAAGTACATTGCTGCTCCTGGCGCTGGACTTGCCCTTTCCCCGCGAGGGGCGGGTGATGAGCGCCCCTCTCGTTGCGGGTTAAACGCCTTCCTGTGTAGAGGCCCTGTTCCTGCCCCAGAGCTCCCGATGGAGCTGCCCCAGGACAGCGCCTGCCCCTGCCACAGCGCCCAAAGCCCTGCCCTGGGGGTGCTAAGCAGCGCTGTCTTATGGCAAGGGCTACCGTCTTTTCTTGCCCCTAGAGGGCTGGAGAGCTGGGGTGTGGCTAAGTATCAAGACTGGGGGAGGGGGGCACCGGGAGTGGTACATCCTGCGATGCTGGAGGACTGGAATGGCTCGTTTCAGCTCTGGAGCAAACGAGTTACCCGGACTGAACTAGGTGGCACCGCCCACCACTTGCCCTCCCCTGAAGGTGTGACTTGGAGATGCTCACAAGGCACTTAGCAGGCGTTTACCAGTTTTGACACGCTGATGCTCACACTTCAAATGTCCTTAATATGGTCTAAGTGTAATATGTAATTTCATCCTATGGTGCTACTCTGCCTTCATCTCTTCTGAAGTAAGCTCAGCCTCGGGAAAGCTTATCCATCTCTGATTCAGTCCCTACTCTGCCTTCTGCCAGACAACATAGGTTGGTCTAATCAAAATGCAGGTTTCCCTTGCTTTATGCTGTACATGTGTTCCTGGAAAGTGGCGCATAACTCGAATTCGCATAAAGGGAACCCACTTTACAAAGTAACAAATAGGGATATGTTCCAAGACCTCAACTGTACTGACCCCTAGACCCATTTCTACCACTTTTACGAGCCAATTTTGGTACTCGCCAACAGCAGACAGTACAGGCAGTCCTCGACTTGCAACGTTTCAAGTTACAGCATTTTGCACTTACAAAGTTTATAAACTGACATGGTTTCAACTTTCTGACATCAGTTTCGACTTTATAACACTTGATCTGATGCCAAGCCATGCCAGCAAACAAGTTCACTGTGTCACCCTTCTCCCTGGAGAACATCTGTCCAAACTTCCTCAGACACTTTTTTTAAAAAAGCAGACAAGACTCCAGAAAAACCTGCAGCCAAGACCTGAGAAGACTCCAGCCAAGAGCCCTTCAAAACATCCAGCAAAATCTCCTCAAAGAAGTCCTTCCGAATCTATTTATCTTCCAAATGATTGCTATTTACAATAGAATTACATTAATGTAACTATCTTACTCATCAATAATTAATTCAGTACAAAATTCTAGATTATTTTTGATGAAAATAGGGTATTGGGCCTTGGTTCAAGAACCAATCCCCCAGTTATAACATTGTTTCCTATGGGAAAATCGGTTCCAAGTTACAACATTTTGACTTAAGACATGGTTTTCAGGAACCAATTGTGTCATAAGTCTGAGGACTGCCTGTACACACAAGCACAGGGCACGATCATAATGGGGGTGGCAACTACAGAAATATGTCGCAGACAATGAGGAAGGAGCACAGATCCACACAAGAGACTATTTTGGTGTGTGTCACTCCCACAATGCACTGCAGAAAGCAGCTGACTGCGGGCTTCCACCACACCGATCGCATAAGAGTGAATTTACCTCTCATACAATGAATTTTTGGTATAAAAAGGGTCATCGCATATGAATGTATTCGCACATACAGAACCTGCATACAGTGCAGGAAACCTGTATGTTACCTCACCTCACAAATTACATTTCTCTCCTGTCCCTCCACAGCTACAGCAACTTTTCAACAAATGCACAAGATGTGTGCAGACAGATTTTGCATCTTTATCACTATTTTGATAGTTTTAGCTGTCAAAATGATGATTCCAAGCAGCTGTAATGGGCAGGAACCAGTTCTGACATTTGTAAGACCTTATGTCTTTTCTCAACTCTGGCACTAGCCCTGTTGCCCAGCCTTGGCACAACATTTCTTCCTAGGCTCTTTTTTCACTTTCCACAATTCATTTCAGTTCAGATCACAGCCATGTCAAGATTTATGCTTACCTCACCATTTGTTTAATTTTACAAATGGGGTAATCCCATTGGCTTTCTGAATTACAGTCCATAAAGTAGAGCCCATCCAGAATGCTCTACAGAAATATGGAGGAGTAACAATTGCTTTTTGACTTCTTGCATTCATTATTCTAGACATTACAGTAGACTTTCTACTTGCAGAGACTAAAATATTGCCTGGATAGCACTTATTCAGCAAAGCTCCAAAAACATAAGGATAGTATCCACTGGGGGTTGGACTAGATGACCTTCTGAGGCCCCTTCCAACCTTAATTTGCTGCGATTCTAAGTCAACAGGAACCCTCAGACAAAATCCTGCTGCTTTGTTTGTGATCAAGAGGTCACCTGAGCCTTGGTAACCTATGCATAAAATCATGGATAGGAGCTTCAGGCAGGCAGCCTGCCTCCTTGGCTACCGGCTTGAGTCAACAGATGTGTCTCTATTCTCTCTGAAGGGACCCTCCAGCTGCTTCTCCCACTTGTCTCTTCATGATAGGGCAGTGTCTGTGAGCCATCCAACTGAGTGGATCTGAGTCTTCCCTCCTCAGCCATTAGGGTTTGATGCACTTTTGAAAGCAGGGCTGCAGTATGGTGCTTGACTGATGGATAGGACAAGTGGGGTAAGGGCAGTGGAAGACTGTGTATAGTGGCAGCCAGTATTCTCTCTGCAATGAGGCCAATTTTCTGCCCCACCTCCCTCCCACAGTATCACTTACGTATTTCTGAGATATCTAGCATCCTACCTCCATCTCTATGTATCCATTGAAATTCTCCCTCCATTGACAAGGTCCTTGTGTCCCCAGATGTTTTGCTGCTGAGCTATCTCCCTTTGTGGGACTCCACAACCAAGTGCTTCACACACTGGATGTCATCTCTGCCTAGCTGCCTCTAGTAGGCATGTTCCCAGCAAGTCAAGCCAAGGACCTTGGTGAAGATCTCCCAGGGTTGGGACCCCTGTCTAGAAAGACCACCACAGATATAATCAGTAGAAGAGCTACCAGCAACATATAGGAACACAGTGTTTTCTACCACTCTGGGGTACCTGTAACAACACCCCTCACATGTTCCTCTACTGGCAAACCAGGAGTAGCCTACTGGGGAAAAAAAAAAGAAACTAATCAAGCTGGCTCAGTTGTGATTGTCACAAGTTTCAAGTTAGGAGCAACCTATAGTTGTGCTTCCTCAGGAGCAAACCAAGAGCATGACTATGGCTGGTTTCCAAATCTACTCTTGTCTTCTGATTCCTGTTTTGTGCATGTAATTGATGCAAGTTGTTTTCCCCTCCTTACCAGATCGGCTTTGCTGGGCTGAGAGACAGAGGCTGCTAGCCGTGCCTTACTACTATCTGTAATACAGGATAAGTAACAGTCTCCTTCATTATTAAAAACTCATCACCAACCAGCAGAACATTTTGGATGAAAATTCCTATTAAAGACAGAAAGTACTATAAGACTTTTGGAGAGTGCAGTCCTGCAGCCAGTGCTACTAGCTTTTGATATGGGCCTCATACTACTGAACCAGAAATACTCTGTTAATACTCAGTCAAGTTTTGGTCTCCATTTGATGTGTTGGGTGTTCACTGTACATAAATCACATAACTACCTACACCTGGAGATGAAGTTGTTTATGTTGTAGCCATACACTGCAAACTTAGCAACCGGGCTCCCTGGCCTAGGCTCAGAGCTAGTCAGAAAACCACAACACACAGAGCTGGGATTAATGACACTTCCAGTGAAAAGCTAGCAGCAATTAAGTATAGAGGGACATTCTCATTCAAGATGAGCAAAACTGCAGAGATCCTTACTAACCCACAGCAGAAGAGGATGCATTAAGACAGAAACAGCAAAGAACATTGTGCTTGGGATTTTTTCATTGGTTTTTGACATTCGTTTGGACTTCAAAATATTTTTTTATTGTCTCTATCTTCAGAGGACACTTTTTGTGAAGTCGTCAGTGAAGATCCTGGAGTTAAAATGAGAGAGAACTGAAATTAAAAGCTAGTTTATCTGCGCAGTCTGAAAGGTTGCCATAATGACAGACCCTACAATGGTAGATCACATGACCCGACTGAAACTCAAACTCTTGGAGAAGGTAAGGGGATGTGTCTGCAATGTTCATATTTTTGTATCTTCTAAAACTTTAGGGTATACTGCCAATCATTCTACTTCAACATGGGTACATGGGTTTTACATCCACTCAGGATTTTTATTCTATTGTGAGAGAACAGAGTGCAGTATTAGAGTATTATAATTGTAGTCATTTTCATAGAACAAAAGTATATCAGATTATATGAACCTTAAAACGAAATAAGGGGAAAAGCAAATAAAATCAAGAACAAAGCAATTACAATCCCAGGGAAAAAATGACCAGATAATGAAATGCTATTTTAAGTTGTTCCTCATTATCATTTAGTAAAATGACAATCAGAAGAGCAGGCCAGAAGCAATGAGAAGCTCAGACATCTTTCAGCAACCTTTATGTCTTCCTGTTTATAGGTTATTCTGGGATCTGGTTAATCCTACATGCTATTTAAGCACCCACTGCACCATGAAAAACCTCTGCAGAACTCTGCTTAACCATGCCCCGGATATCTCTCCAAACCACAGCCTTATTTAAACTCCCTTAGTACACAGTTGAGGCACAGGCACATTTGGGGTCCTGATTAGGGTTCCTATGGCAGGACTCTGAGGATGCTGTTTGGGTTTGAAGTCCATGGGAGGAGATGAGCTTTGGCTGGAGAAATCAATACTGTCTGCATATTGTTTGCTCAGCAACCCTACAGTTACACCCAACCTCTGTCCACTGCCTGAGGCAGCATTAACTTATGCTTATATGTATACTAGAAATTTTAGTTGGCAGAAGTTTCCCTTGCTCACAGCAGATGCCATAACTACGCCATGGCACAGGCATAGCCCACTGCTTGTGGAAGCACTGTATGTTTTCATCCTGAGTGACTGAGCTGGCTAACAGTGAAGTGCACCATGAGCAAACATCCCAGTGGCTCCTGTAACACCACCCTGTACCCCACACCATGGGATATAGGAGTGGTTCATTATGGGATACTGATGTGGCACTGAGAATTGTGGTAGTTGGGGTTAATGCCCCTTAATGTCATTTTCTTTGCCCCTTCTTAAAATGTGTGCCATATATTTTGAAAAACTGCAGTACCTTGCATTTTGTTTCCTCACCATTAGTATGAGTACCATAAAAGTCCTCTTTGTAATTGTTCCACCCAAAGATGCTGCATCATTTCTTTGTATTTGCACCACTTGGACAGTAGAAGTATGACATGGGGGTATTAGCACAACCTGGGGGCAGAAGGGGTATACAAAAACAATGAATGGATGCTGTAAGGACAGGGATGGGGTCAGCAACTGCACCCGGAGGCATTCACTGACCATCTGAACATGGCTAAGCCTCATGCCTGGGCTTAGGGGACTAGCATAGAGTGGTGGCATCATACTTGTGATTCATGTCTGGGATGATCAGCTGTGGCTGCAAACTTTCCAAGACAATATTTCTGGCACTGTGGGTTGAGTATGGCTCTGTCCTTCAGAGCAGTGACAGTAGACAGGTTTCATATACCAGTTCTGGCCCTTCACTCCACCTAGCTTCTCAGTACATCAGTGGAAGGTTATACTTCCACATGGTGATGCAGATACTGATGGTTCACAAGGAGCAGTCAATAGATAATACTGACTGCTGGAGGAAGGTGCACAATGCTTGTATGCCTGTGCACAAAAGCGTACATGAGAAGCTTCAAGCAGGGATATTCTTCCTCAACTTCCATATTTGCACTGAAATGCCAATACTCATTCTGAGTGGTGTGGCATACCCTCTCCTCCCCTAGCTCATTAAGCCATATATTAGCATCTGGACAACAACAGGGGAGGTTTAACTAGACCTTAAGTAGATGCAGAATGACAACTAAATGTGTTTCTGGGTATTTGATAGGGCAATGGAGAGAGATATCCCATGATAACGCATAACTTTGGCAAACCAAATATTCCCATCATACCTGTTGCCTGCTCTTGTATGGTACAGGCTTTGTGAGGCTAAAGGGAAACTTTGCCAATGGGATGGCAGAAGAAGAGGAACAGACTATGTGCATAATTTAAGCAGCTAGACACACAGGCAAGAAACAAAGCCCACTATAATGCTGTTCAGCTAAGGGAGGCTTTAAAAGAACACTTCAGTGGTGTGTCATGAATTGTGCCAATATTTGTTTTTAAAGGCCACACAGCCTTTGTGGGGGAGAGACTGGAATGCCCGTGCATGTAGGCAACTGTGAATTTTAATATTCCGAATTCCATATGAAATACTAAAATTTTTATTTGAGATAACAGTGCTGCGCTATTTAAATTCAGTAACAACAGACAGATCAAGGACCCCTACAACCAGCCAACCAACCTAGGAAGACAACCAACACGAGTAACTGAACATAAATACTTTTATCATGTATCATGACCAGGCTGATCAGTATAAAATATGAGGTTGCTTCTGAAAGACTACAGCAACTGACAGATGCAAACATATCCATGCTGGTTTTATCTCAGTGGCTATATGTGGGCTTGTGCTCCATGGGGAGGTATTGTGACTCAGCTGGCAGATCTGGGTTTTGTCAGCTTTTAGGCACCTTATGCGCAGGCATATGCACAATTCTGTCAACAGAAAACTGTCAAAACATTCTCATGTTGGCCAGGTCTTATCTTTCCCTGGGGACATCCACTGAGTGGTAGAGGAGCTGTTGGTACTGCAGGATGCCGAGAAAGAGCCAAAGAGTCAGTATAGAAGTTCAAGTATAGAAATCCCAACAGTCTTATCCCTCCCTGGATATTCAAAATCTGCTAGCTTTAAGGATTAATCCTGACATGCTCTGTCATCCTGCCCTCTAGAGCAGTGTCTCTCAACCTGTGGGTCACAACCCAAAAGTGGGTCGCAAGAATATATTAAAGGATCGTGGACAAACTTTAAAAATGGATTTTCCTTTAAAAGAGAAAAATGTGGTTTTTCCCTTGTAGAGTTCCAGCCTGCAAGGGGCTGCTTGGTGTCCCCCCCTGCCTCACACACCCACACTGAGGGGCTGGGGCCTGGCGTTAGAGCATAAATGATGTATGCCCCTGGAGGCTGGGGGGAGCATGGCGACTGCCCACAAGCAGGAGTGGCAGGGGCATAGCAGTGACAAGCAGGGAGCTCCTGCAGGCAGCCATGGTGGTGTCGGCAGCAGAAGGAGGGGGTGAACACCCGCAGATGCCGCTGGCAGACACTAACACTGTCAGGGGGGAAGGGGGGGAGCAGCGACTGTCCACAGGTGCTGCCAGCAGTGGCAGCAGCAGCCAATTGCAGAGGATGCATCACCAATCTCAGTGGATGCACATGCACCCGCGTGCACCCCCTATGCATTGCCAGTGGGTTAGAGGGTCAGGAGTGAGGGTTGGAGCTGGGACCCATAACTGGGTTGGGACTGACCATCGATGTTTACAACTAGGTCCTGGTACAAAAAAGGTTAAGAACCACTTCTTTAGAGGAAGTAATACTGGGGCAGAACTGTGCAGGTCTTCCAGGCCTCTGTGCAAGTAATCATCTTATACAAGACAAAATGGCTTGTTGATATTCCAGGTTGTTCTTTAATGGAACTAGATTTATTCTGAAATGTTTCAGATCCAGCAGACTTTTATTAACAAAAACTACCCCTAACTCTGATATTGAGATCTACTGAGGAAAATTGCTAAATACTTTATAAGGGAGCTCACCATTATTATCTTCATTTACAGACACGAAAACTGAAGCACAAAGGGAAGAATTAACTTGCCTATGATCACTCCACAGACCAGCAGTTGAGACAGAAAAAGGATGTCAGTTTCTTAAGTTTCAGTCCAGTGCACTGTCCACTTGGTCACACTACCTCTAAAAGCTAATCTGTTTCTACTCTTTTATGATTGTGACATTATAAATAGTCTGTAATTGCCAAGGTTTCCAGGATGAGTGCTAGCTTGTTCAAGGTAGTGCCAGTTGCTTGGATTTGGACACCAATTCTACCAGCAGATTCCCTGCTCTGTACAGAGCAGCTGGTAAATGGGGGCCTGCTGCAGCAATATGTTCAGGATTGCAGCTGTGTGATGAGGCACTGGCTGTGAAAGGCATGTCTTTCAGCTTTCCTACAGCCACTCCCCACCCCCTCAAACCCCAGATGTAGCCCATAGACTTCTAAAAACAACCCAGGAAGTGCTTTTGTGATAGGGAGTCTACCTCTCAGCTGTCAGGAAGTCATTCCATTTGAATTTAAATCTGTAATATGATCGCCTGAGTTCAGGAAAGCACAAAAGATATCAGCAGTGAGCTTGTATTCCCTGGAAACACTGCCTTGAAAAATCTGCATTCTTTGACAAGAGGCACAGCTTTATCATTTTTTGGTTTCTGTTGCTTCTTGCAACAAACTTCTGCTTCAGGCAGAAGTAATTAATCACAAAAGAATCATTAAGAAACTCTAAATATGTTGGCTTTGCCTGTTTTTAAATATAGAAATTACTTTTTACCTCAGGATATGCCAGAAAGAAATTACTCACACTTCTGAGTAATCCACACCAACAGCAAGCTACCCACATGCTTGTTTACTAAAGAC